GGTAGGTATATCAGCTTAGATATTTCAAAAAAAATTAGATACCAGAAAAGTACCCAACCTGGAGTTGAAAAAGCTAAGTTTGCAAACTCTGCTAGCTGTACCACCTATGATCTGAAAGAAATACACCAGCCACCTAGCATTGCTAAGAATTGGTTCCTCAGCCTGAGTGACTCCTAGCAATCTATTGAATCCTGAATTCTAAGTTTCCCTCTCTCCTTCTCCCATCCCTATCTTCTTTCCTTCCATCTTCCCTTCTCTCCTCTCCTCCTTCCTTCCCTTTCCTTTTAGAAAAGTCACTTCTAACCGTGAGGCAAAATCCTTTTTCACAGTCCCACCTCCTGTTCCATTATCTATCCTTTTGCCATAAAGGTAGTGCATTTCCCTCAAGTCAGTCCTCTACATTACCAGTAAAAATCCTTGGGGATTTTTAGGGGATGAGTTTTCTACAAGAATGTAAATTAATTTATTAACTAGAATGCTATAGATTGCCTTAGAGGGCCTCAGCATGGGGATGGCTGCAGAGTTGCAAAAGATTATGATTCAGCTCTGCCTCCAATCCTCCTGCAGAGCTCTGGGGAGCCGGGAGTCTACTCTCCTCCTTAGATACTAAGAGGATTCCTTCTCAGGGTGCACGGGGTCTTCCAGACCTGCAGATGAACAGAAGAGCACGGGCGGCAGCCCTGCTCCTCGCAGCGTCCTTGCTGCTTTGGGAACAGGAGACCTAGACAGCAGCTAACACAACAAGCCTAGCCTCAGACTCAGGGGCACATTCCTTATCTTCAGCATCTCACACACTAAGAGCATCTCTTCTAAACTGTCTGCATAAGGAGACTTAGTCCTTCCGGGAGGTTGGCACACACATAAAGTCCATCTGTCCTCTTCCTCAGGGACGACAGCCTGGCTCCCCCCAACACACAGCCAGCCTTTCTCTTGGTGAGGGGGCCATATTTGAACACGTGTATTGGCCAGCCTGTCTAGACAGCGTCGTTTCCCAGTCAGAGCAGAAGAAGGTGGTGCGGCTGGAGCCCCAGAGCTCTCGAGCAGACCTTCTCAGCTGCCGCCCCACACAATATCCCAGCTCGGCTGCCTCTCTGCGGTGTGAGTGGGGGCTGTGTGAACACAGGCGGACAACTGTGAATGGCGCAACATCTGATACAAATTTATCACCGGCTGCTGGTTGGGTGGGGGATAAAGCAAGGAGAAGGGGCTCTGAGTGTTTAATGCACCCTGCCACAACCCAACAGTTTGCCCTAAAGAGCCTTTTCCCAATATGAAAGGATAGGGTCAAAAGTAAGTTGACCCCTGACAGAATGTACAATGATTAGAAGAGGGCTGTCTACCAGCAGCTGCTGGAACCCCACTGGCTCCACATCGGGCTTCCAAGAGTCAGAATCTGAATAATCAACTCAAGATTGTTTTCTCCACCCCTCTCCATCCAGAACACCTCCCCCTAGCCCTTCTCCCCCTGTTTGGAGCAAGTCCTATTCTATTGCTACAGGAAGAAGCATGGCCCTCCAGAGCAGCTGCAATAATTGTGTTCCTATTGTGATGGGGACCTCCTCCTGGCCACCCCCCTACAAGTGGCCATTGTGAGTGGAGAGTCAGTGATTATACGCTCCAGCCTGATGCTTTGGGGGACCCAGCTGCCTAAGTGCTGACACACGAGCACGCGGAAGGCCAGGGAGGGGTGGTGGAGGTGGAGGCAAGAGGTGGGGGAAGCCACGTCTGTGAGATGGCACTGGGACATACCAGACCTTTTGCATAAGTCAAGCCCAGAACAAATGAGGCTTTATCGGGCCCCCATGATGAGAGGGCTCGTCTGCCTTTGAAGTAGAGCTGAGCAAGAGGCCCAGCAGCTTCTCCTCCTTTGGACCAAGCAAACATCCTCCTTTCGATATGCTACATGCTCATTATCTCTGCCCCATTTAATGATTTTTGATTGAAGGGTGGCGGCTGGGCTGCCGAGAGGATCGTTAGAGAGGCTCCATCCAGCCAAGCCCGTAAGAAAGGCTCCCCTTGTGCCTGGGCCTAAATTTGGAATTTCTTAACAGTGTGCGCTTGTTCTTCCAGGCAGATAAGGGCTGAGCGTGAAATTCTTAATTAAGCAATAAATAGAGAGTGGGGTGTCAGCAGATGTAGCCAGTAGCCATGGCAACAGGAATCACATGGGCGAGAGAGCCGAGACTAGATGGAGGCCTCGGGCCTGGGGCTGACTGACAGCTGAAGAATCCTACAAAGCTTGTAAACCAGATTAATTAGCTGACTAATTATTTCATAGCGTTAATGTAACTAAAAAATAAAAATAGTTCACCATGAACTGAAACATCCCTGGAAAAAACAGCAGGGAAAGGAGGCAGCAGGAAATGACTAAAAGGCAGACAAGAGCTACCAGAGAATCAGATTGTGTGAGCAGGAAAATGGGCTTGCTGGATTTCACCTCCAACCTTCAGATAGGAAAGAACACCTGTTCTGTGGTCACATCCATCCCCAAGCATGACGTGGGAAGTTCCAGTTGGGAACTGCCATTCCCGATGGTTTGTCACGTTGAATATTGCCCCATCTTGGGCTCTGACACAAAGTGTAGTCCACAGGGGCTTTGCCCATGGTCTGCTCTTTACGTAGTTCCCTGGGCAAAACACTCAGTAGTGTCAGAAAAGGCAACCAAACTCATCTCCTTAAGAGATACTTTAAAATGTGGGACGGTATCTTATTCTGTGGATAAGAATTGCTCAATGATATAACATTTAAATCATGGGAAAAATATATCATACACATCCTATTATTGTGGATCTCAGTTATTTTATAAATCTAGTAAAATAGGAAAATTGAAAGGTTTTGACATGTACACTGAAATTGAGACACATAATATTGTTAATATTCTAGGTGGCTGAGGAAGGACTCAAGAGAAATGATCCATTGAGGAATTTTTAGTGCAATAGATGATATTTTCACTAAAACTTACCATATTCTAATACGTGTGGAGCTTTTGTACCACCAAGAAACAATACTCTTCACCTTATGTAAATGAAGCTATTGGAGCATGGAATGATTGCAATGCCAGACACCAGGTAAAAGAGCCAGCCAATCACAGAGGGTGGCTAACATTTCTGTGACTACCTTTACTTTTTTGTTTGGTAAGTAATTTTGATGCTCCACTTTCACAAAATTCTATAAATGTTTGCCTTTAATTGGTAAGTGGAATAACGTAATCAATCTCCTTTGGAAACACAAAAACAAAAGCCTTAAGCTCTGGTCCTGCATGTTCCAAAAAAAGTTGTACTTCTTAAAGATATTTGCTGAACAAAAACAAAACTTGCCCTACTGAAAGGCAGAAATGAAGGGGCAAAACCTACCACATGTGCAGGCTTTTCTTCTCTGGCACATGATCAGTGAGAAGTTTTCTCTCACATCCCTGCCTAGTCACCCTACTCCCTACCCCAATCCTTTCCAGTTGGTGGTCAGTGATTATTTAGTGGGCAGCACACTCTAGTGGAGGGATCCACAGCCAGGAGCCAGAATGCCTGGGTTCTGCTCCCTTCCACATTCGGATGGGCCTTAGCTTAGATTAGTCAGCTGTCTTAACCCACGCATGGAGCAGCCAAAGGGAGGAAGTGTAGAGGTCTATGATTTTTTTTTAGACTTCCTATCCTAAGGGATTGTGGTAACGTTGTGAGCAAACAATAACCAAAGAAGTGGTCAACAGATGAATGAAATGTGGCCAGTTATCAGTGAAGCAGCACTCTAACAAAAAGGCAGCCAAGAAAAGGAGCAGTGCCTGCCGAAAATCTGATGTGGAACTTGGCGGACCTGCAAGAGGCCCAGCAGTCTCCTCCCAGCAAAATGAAGCTTCTGTTTACACAACTCTGCCTATGAGCCTTCATGCCAGGGAGAAGCCCACATGGACTCTGGTGCCTTTTTTAAAAAGATCTTTATTCACTTAAAAGATAGAGTGACAGAAAGAGAGGCAGGGAGGGAAAGAAAGAGATCTTCCAACTGCTAATCCGCTACCTAAATGGCTGCTAAGGCCAGGGCTAGAACTCCATGCTGGTCTCCCTTGGAGATGGCAGGGGTCCAGGTGCTTGCGCTATCTTCCAGTGCTTTCCCAGGCACAATTTCAAGAAGTTGGATCAGAAGCAGAACTTCCTGTGTCAGTTTAACCTACAACACCTGACTGCGATGTCTTAACTACAATGTCTCCATTTAGATTACATGCATCTCATATGAATTATCAAGTATCCTGCCTTATATACAGAGTTCTTTTCACTATAAATACAACACTAACCCACAGTGAATTAAAAATAATACTACCGATGCTTTTGATGCGTCGTAGTAGGTAAAGCAGCCGCCTGCAGTATTGGCATCCCATGTGGGCACCAGTTCGAGTCCTGGCTGCTCCACTTCTGATCTAGCTCCTAGCTAACGACCTGGGAAAGCAGCAGAAGATGGCCCAAGTGCTTGTGCTTCTGCACCTGCATGGAGACCTGGAAGAAGCTCCTGGCTCCTGGCTTCAGATCAGCGCATCTCCGGTCACTGCAGCCATCTGAGGAGTGAACCAGCGGATGGAAGACCTCTCTCTCCCTCTCTTTCTCTCTCTCTCTCTCTCTCCACCCCCCTATAACTCTCCCTTTCAAATAAATAAATAAACCTTTATAAAAAATAATACTACAAATGTTTACTAAGCACTTGCTATGGTATTAGCAGTCTTACTAGGAGTTTTACATGTTATCCTTTATTTAATTTCCTATCCTTTAAGATTGGCCCTATTATTATCCTGCTTCTCAAATGAAAAGGCTGAGATCTGAAAGAAAGAGTACCTGCTCAGTATCCCCTGGCTGATAAGCACTGGAGCTGGAATTTAAACCCAGGGAGTCTGATTTCAGGACATACTCACTTAACCCCAATACCAGGCCCTCCCTTCATAGCATATGTGCCCATAGTCCAAGAGAGAAGCGTGGTTTCTGCCTGTGCTCCCTAAGACACTGCTCCAGTCAGATACTTACCCAGATAGGTGAGTTGTCTCAGCTGGCTGCTGAAGAACCAGTCACAGCTTTGGTCCTGACCAGGTGATGGAAGAGACAGAAGGGAGCGGCCCACTTGACTCCCACAACGTATGAGGATGTCAGGGTAAGGTGGCACATCTGTGTGCACCAGCAGGAGGTAATTCCCATGAGCAAAGTTGTCAAATGTTGCTGAGTACTGGAAAGGAAAAATACAACAGTGTCCAATTAGTAAGAAAGTTGCCCCAAAATGAGCTATAGAAAACATAGTTAGAACCATTTAGAAATAGGATAGTGTAGACCTGGACAGCTAAAAGACACAGGCATAGGTCTTGAATTCCTTTTCAGTTTTCCCCACAACTTGAAAAGGCGGGCAATGATGGGTGTCAACTATTTACAACAATACTAACTTCCAGTGCTGGAGCACTTACCAGACAATCAGGCAGTATGTGAGTCATTTATGCCTTGATTGTTGCTTTTACTGTCCCATGTTATAGCTGATGAAGCTGACACAGGCAGAAGTTCAGTAACTTGCCCATGTCACAAAGCAGGGCCATGCTGGGCCCAAGGTTTCCACCTCTAGAGTCATACCCTACTGCCTTCACTTTATGAAAATTCCCCAAAATGTGCACATGGGAATCTCAAGGAAATGAACAACAGGGACACATCCTTTCTGACAGTCATAGTGGAAAGAACAAGATCCTGTTCTGAATTCCTCCTAACTATGGTATACCTGAAGCAACTTCCATCTGTCCTCTGCTATCCTGTTAGGGGATATTTATGACAACACAAGAGGACAGAAGTGTACTGAAAGGAAGAAAAGCTGAGAGAATCCACTGCATTGGGGGGAGGGCCTAAAACGTATCCACTTTTCACATGACTGTCCCTATTTTTACTTCCCCCAGGTAAAATTCCTTCAACTGAAACCAGCCTGGGGACTCACATGGATCTCTTTTTGCAACTTAACTTTTTACCACAAGGTGGCAGTATGAAATGTGTAAATGCCTGGTTAAGACATTTTCTCTGGCTGCAGACACTTCTATTGGGGCTGTTGGGTTTTGATCTGTAATTTTTAAAAAAATGCAATTCTACAGTGTTCTTAGAGGCTAATTTTCATTGAATTAATTAATTTAAAATTTCAAGAAAAACCATTCTGCACTCAAGATTGAGATTTAAACAGATTCTTAAATTTCCAAGTTAAAAACATCCAAATCTTACATCCAACATCTACTCATCATGCAGCTGTTGCTTTCTTTATCAGCATCAGGTAATGATTAATATTTGCAACCTATTTCCCAGAAGAAAAAATCAGAATTCCTTATTGGGAATGGGACACTTCAATGAATGGATTCCTGGGGTTACCTGCAGAGAGCTGTGGATCCAGGGATTCTCAAATCGCAATGAGTAGGTCTCTTGGTCCAAGAGCAGAGCCATCCAGCCATGAAGGTTAGACAATGTGTCAACTACATAATTGACAGTGGTTGACTTATTTCTGCTGTCAGTCAAGGTTAAATTGTAAGAAACATCAGGAGCATCAGCTCTAGGTTGATTTTAAAAGAGAAACAAATGGAACAAATGAGTTCTAAAGTTATTTTCCTATTCCCAAATTCTTCCCTCACCAAATATAATACACTTTTTCTTTTTTTTTTAATTCTTATATCCTTTGTACGTCAATGAAGGTTTTAGTAATCACCATGTAGGTCAAAACAGCCCAGTGGATAGCTGTCATTGAATTTCTTGCACATTTCACTGGCCTAATATCTGCTAATGGGAATGCTCAGATCTTAAGCCACTAAGAAATGTTACCCTAATGAGTTCATATGTACCAGGACCACATACTTTATCAAAGAAATGTGCACAGGCAGAATTATGCCATAGATCAGATTCATCAATAATGGAGAATATATTATTTTTATTATGACATATTCCTATAGTGAGTATAGTGAGCAGTGACTGAGACTCAGGACCTGACATGCCTGGACACTCAGACACCCTGCTGCAATCATCCAGCAGGAGTGGCTTTGTAGCTGAAGAGGAGGTAGCCTATCTCCTCTCCTTGCAGTTTATCAAATTTCCAATGCTCACTGCCATTATAGAACCTTAGTGTTCTTGAATTTGCTTCTTAAAAACAAATATTGTGGGTGTGCACTTGGTGCAGCAATTAAGACAATGCTTGGTATGTATGCATAACAAAGCAGAATGCTGGATCTAGTACAGGCTCTTCCAGTTCCAAACCAGCTTCCTGCTTATGCACTCACTGGAGGCAGCTGGCCCTGCCACTCGTGTGGAAGCCTGGATTGGGCTCCTGGTTTCAGCATTGCCCAGCCCTGGCTAATGAGGGCATTTGAGGAGTAAATTATCGGATGAAAGATGTCGATAGATCGATAGATCGATAGATAGAGATAGATATCTCTCTCCTCTTCAAATAAAATGAAAATAGATCTAAAATTTAAAAAATGGACATAAGTTGTGAGATCCTTAAGTTAGAGATGTCTTCCTCTTGAAATCCTCTGCCCTGGCCCAGGCCACTTTACACAATGGCACTCAAATCATGTGTGTTTTGGAATGAAAAATGCTGGATAAGATCTTACTTTAAAAGCAGTCAGGGCCATTTTCCTAATATATATAAAGGGTTTTGAGAAAAACTGCATTTTACCAAATGAGGAAATTGAGGCAGAATATGGTAAAAGTTATATGTGAATGTCATGGGCTACAGCTATAAATTCATAACCCAGTATCCCCCAAATTATTCTATACAGCCCATCCAGTGAGTGATTTTAAGACTACTAAAATATAAATATTTTTCTCCACATGCTAAGATCCTAAAAGAAAGTCAAAATAGAAATTAAAATAATGTGAATGTCAGAAAAAAAAACCCCACACATTGTAATTGTCCTTTCTCTTTTTGGTTTTCATGAGAATCTTTAACTGTCGTGTTTTGCTGTAGGCAGATAATTAAATTCTCAAAGCAGAAGAAAATAAGACAAAGGAGGATGTTTGTTTGCACATTGAGGTGGGACACAAGTATATCTAAAGCTGATTAATAAACCATGGCATATTATAAAAAAGCAACTTTCAGTGTTGAATGCTAGGCATTGAAGTCAGAATTAAATGGGTATAAATTGGAAATAAAGATCAGTGCACAATGGAGGGTGTGAACTTGGACAGATATCAATGCTTTTTCAGCTTTAGTTTCTTCTTTAAATAAAATTCATCATTGTAAATATATATTTACTTAGCTGCAGTGAAACTTAAACAATGTAAAGCACTCAGTAGCCTTAATCATGCCCACCAATGCCTACATACAATTCACCTGGTACAGAACCTCAACTGTGCCAGATTGGTCACTGTATAACTTATCTCACTGTCTGAAATTTTACCCAGGATATTTGATCATTTGAAATCATACGCCAAACCTTTCCCAGTACAGAGCACTGACCCTAGCTATGCAGCATATATATTTCTTTTAAGATTAAATATGCTCATTTCATCTCTTAATTACATGAAATAAAATGGACAAAGAAATGCTCAAGGCATTTTGAAATAAAATAATTATTCATTCCCCAGATTTTCTTTTTTTTTAAGATTTATTTATTTATTTATTTGAAAGTCAGAGTTACACAGAGAGAGGGGAGGCAGAGAGAGGGGAGGCAGAGAGAGAGAGAGAGAGAGAGAGAGAGAGAGAGATCTTCCATCTGATGGTTCACTCCCCAATTGGCTTCAACTGCTGAAGCTGTGCCGATCAGAAGCCAAGAGCCAGGAGCCTTCTCTGGGTCTCCCATGTGGATGCAGAGGCCCAAGCTTGGGCCATCTTCTACTGCTTGCCCAGGCCACAGCAGAGAGCTGGATGGGAAGAGGAGCAGCCGGGACTAGAACCGGTGCCAACATGGAATGCCAGTACTTCAGGCCAGGGTGTTAACCCACTGAGCCACAGCGCTGCCCACCACTTATATCAGGCCTTAAGTCAGAACTAGAGGACAATAATTAACTCATAATTATCTAATAATCTGAGAATCAGAATGGTCCTGAAGCCATACGTGCCAACTCCCACTCCACTGCATAAACCCCTCTGTGATATTTCTTCCTTTCCCATCTTCTAGCTGAGGTTGTTCACATCCTCAAATAGAAGGCTGTTACATTTGTGGAATTTATTTTTAAATTATAATCTTCAGAAAACTATAAGAATGCTAAACTCCCTTCACATTTACTTTACTTTTTTTTTGTTAATATGAAGAGAACAGATTTCATGCATTCCATATGTACAGTTCCAAGAAGGCAACCACACTTCCCTCCCTCCTCCCCATCCCTCACTTTCCCTCCCCTGTATTCTTTTCATCAGTCTTTGCATTTTAATCCACACTACCTTGACAGGCTTACTTCACCACCAACCGTAATATTCAACAAGTAGGAAGACCTCAGTTACACAGGAGAATAAACAAGGGCTAAAAATCACAATCATATCATAAGATGTCCATTTCATTCCTATACATTTTTTGTATTCTATATTAGCTGCAAATAACAGAGAAAACATATGGTATTTGTATTTTTAAGACTGGCTTATTGGCCAGCGCTGTGGCTCACTAGGCTAATCCTCCGCCTTGTGGCACTGGCACACTGGGTTCTAGTCCTGGTTGGGGCGCCGGATTCTGTCCGGGTTGCCCCTCTTCCAGGCCAGCTCTCTGCTGTGGCCGGGGAGTGCAGTGGAGGATGGCCCAAGTGGTTGGGCCCTGCACCCACATGGGAGACCAGGAGAAGCACCTGGCTCCTGCCTTCGGATCAGCGCGATGCGCCGGCCGCAGTGGCCATTGGAGGGTGAACCAATGGCAAAAAGGAAGACCTTTCTCTCTGTCTCTCCCTCACTGTCCACTCTGCCTGTCGAAAAAAAAAAAAAAAAAAAAAAAAGACTGGCTTATTTTGGCCAGCGCTGTGGCTCACTAGGCTAATCCTCTGCCTGCGGTGCCGGCACTATGGGTTCTAGTCCTGGTTTGGGCGCCGGTTCTGTCCCAGTTGCTGCTCTTCCAGTCCAGCTCTCTGCTGTGGCCTGGGAAGGCAATGGAGGATGGCCCAAGTGTTTGGGCCCTGCACCCGTGTGGGAGACCAGGCTCCTGGCTTCAGATTGGTGCAGTGCACTGGCCGTGGTGGCCATTTGAGGGGTGAACCAATGGAAGGAAGACCTTTCTGTCTCTCTCTCTCTCTCTCACTGTCTAACTCTGCCTGCCAAAAGAAAGAAAGAAAGAAAGAAAGAGAGAGAGAGAGAGAGAGAGAGAGAGAGACTGGATTATTTCATTACATAAAGCATAATGGTTTCCAGTTGCATACATATTTCTGTAAAAGGCAGAATTTCATTTTTTATGGTTGAGTAGTATTCCATAGTGTACATACACCACATTTTCTTTATCCAGTCATCAGCTGATGGACATCTGGGTTGAGCCCATGTCTTAGCTATTGTGAATTGAGCAAAAATAAACATGGGGATACAAATAACCCTTTCATATGCTGATTTAATTTCATTTGGGTAAATAATCACAAGTAGGATAGTTGGGTCATATGGTAGATTTATTTTTAGATTTCTGAGAAATCTCCATTTTGTTTTCATAATGGTTGTACAATTTTATATTCCCACCAACAATGGACTAAGGTACTTTCTGCCTATATCCTCACTAGTATTTACTATTTTTTGATTTTTGCATGACAGGCATTCAAAAATGGAGTGAGATGAAACATCATTGTGGTTTTTATTTGCATTATTAGCTCAGGCTAGCCATCCTGAGCATTTTTTATGTGTCAGATGGACATTTGTATTTCATTCTTGAAAAATACCTGCTCATGTCCTTTGCCTCTTTATTAACTGGATTATTTGTTTTGCTGTTGTTGAGATTCTTTTATAGATCCTCGATACTAATCCTTTACCAGTTCTACAACTTGCAAATATTTTCTCCCATTCTGTTGGATGCCTCTTCACTTAGTCCAATATTTCTTTTGCAGTGCAAATGAACTATAGACCAATATTCCTGATGAACACAAATACAAAAATCCTCAACAAAATACTGGGCAGTTGAGTCTAACAACACATCAGAAAGATCATTCACCCAGATCAAGTCAGATTTATCCCTGGTATGCTGGGATGGTTTGATTTCTGGCTTCATTCCTTTATGGTCACAAAAGATGCATAGTATGATTTCAATTTTTTTGGGATTTGTTGAGAGTAGCTTTATGGCCTATGATATGGTTTATCCTAGAGAAAGTTCCTTGCACTGATGTAAAGAATATATATTGCTGTGGGAATGAAATGTTCTGTAGCTATTAATTATGTTCATTTGGTCCATAGTGTAGAATACCTCTGTTGTTTCTTTCTTGATTTTCTGTCTATTTGATCTGTCCATTGATGAAAGTGGGATGTTGAAGTCCCCCATTATTATTGTATTGGAATCAATGTGTCCACTTAGATTTAGTAATGTTTGCTTAAATAGCCAAGCATCTGGCATTGAGTGCATATAGATTTAGTATAGTCCCATGTTCCTGTTCAATTGATCCCTTAAT